TAATGTAGATGACATGGTGATGGATGCAGCAAACCACCATGGCATGTGTATATCTAAGTAACAGAGCTGCACATTCTGCACATGTATCCCAGAACTTAAAGTATAATTTAAAAAAAATTCAAAAAAGAAATATGCATTAAATGCAGCCACTTAAAATATTATATCAGAATATCTAATGATACTGAAAGTTGTTCATAAGATGTTAAATGAAAAAAGCAGAATATACTGTATAATCCCTTTTTAAAAAAAAAAAAAAAAGCTTGTATACATTTATATACCTACAAAAAGAAAGACTAAAAGGAAGGCTGCTCACTAAAATGTGAGTGATGATTTTGGGAATCAGGGGAACACTAAGATCCTTTTTCTTATCTTTTTTTAACTTTAAAAATTGTGATACAATAACGTAAAATTTACCATCTTAATGATTAGTTTTTCTAAATTGTGGTAAAATGCACACGCCATAAACTTTACCATCTTAACCTTTTTTATGGGTGCAGCTCAGTGGCATTAAGTATGTTCACATTATTACATAACCATCACCACCACTGACCCACCTCCAGAACTCTCTGCGTCTTTCAAAACTGAAGCTCTCTACTAATCAATTCCTCCTCCTCCCCGCCCCTGGCAACCACTGTTCTACTTTCTGTCTCTTGGAATCTGACTACTCTAGGTACCTCATGTAAGTGGAACCCTACAGTGTACATCTTTTTGTGACTGCTTATTTCACTGTGCATAGTGTCCTTAAGGTCCATCCATGTTGTAGCGTGGGTCAGACTCTCCTTCCTTTTGAAGGCTGAATAGTGTTTTATTGTCTGTCCATATCGCATTTTGTTCATCTATTCCTTTACTGATGGATTGCTTCTACCTTTTGTGGATAATGCTGCTATGAACATGGGTGTACAAACGTCTCCTCGAGACTTTGCTTTCAATTCCTTTGGGTACGTCCTCAGAAGTAGAATTGCTAGATCATGTGGTGATTTTATTTTTGAGAATCCACCATACTATTTTCTTTAGCTTTCTTACCTAATTTTACAATTTGCCTAAGGAAAAGCAATTTTAAGCATTTTTATTTATTTATTTATTTTTGAGATGGAGTCTCGCTCTGTAGCCCAGGCTGGAGTGCAGTGGCGCAATCTCTGCTCACTGTAACCTCTGCCTCCCGAGTCCCAGTTCAAGCAATTCTCCTGCCTCAGCCTCCCGAGTACCTGGGATTACAGGAACGTGCCTCCATACCCAGCTCATTTTTGTATTTTTAGAAGAGACAGGGTTTCACCATGTTGGCCAGGCTGGTCTTGAACTTCTGACCTCGTGATCCACCTGCCTCAGGCTCCCAAAGTGCTGGAATTACAAGAAATTCTCCCACCTCAGCCTCCCAAGTAGCTGGGACTACAGGCGCACACCACCACACCTCGCTAAGTTTTGTATTTTTTTTTTTTAATAGAGACAGGGGTCTCACCACATTGGCCAGCCTGATCATTAACTCCTGAGTTCAAATGATCCACTTGCCTTGGCCTCTCAAAGTGCTAGGATTACAGGAGCCACACGGCACCTGACCACAATCTGACTTTTTGAAAAACACATACAAAAGAAAACACTGGCATAACATATACTAAAAGATTAACTGCCATGATTTCTGGGTCATAGGTTTATAGGTAACTTTTTTGTCTTCTGTTGACTGGCTTCATTTTCTAATTTTTCTACAATCATTATGTATATGTGTAGTAAGTCATTAAAACAGGTTATACAAAGCTTTTAAGAGTTTGAGAAAATAAACAATAAAATAACAAATAGGCAAACACCATGGGGTGCTGGCTGGGTGGGCCTCTGCGTGCACTAAGAAGACAAGGACTCCTGTCCCACTGATTAAGGAACACAACCTAATTACGGGACAAGGGAAGTCGAAATGCCAAGCTCTCGCCTATAAAAAACAAGGTGACTGAATGGGGTGGGCTGCCTACACGGGCTCAATGGAGGAATGGAGGAGCTGTGTCCTGGGGAGCAATTGGATCTGCCTGGGTGGGGGCAGGGCAGAGGGAAGGAGAATTGGAGGCGGGCTACCTGTGACTCGGTATCACTGCCCCAAAGCTGCCAGAGCTGGGCCCCAACCTGCAAAGAGAAACCTCCTGCTCAAGTTTCCTCCTCGCCATCTGGTCAGTACTCAGGGAGCAGCTTACTAAGAAAACCATCCCAGTGTGGGTGGAGGTAGCATCCCTGAAAGGCGCTTGGGAGCAGGGAAGACCAGCAGAGGCCTGGGGCTGGACAGCCTGGCTCTGCAGCTGACCTTGCTCTGGGCTCCTGGACCTGAGAGGGCTCTCCTGGAGGGACGGTCAGTGATGCTGGCCTCGCCACAGAGAAGGCTGGAGAAAAGCGAAGGGGCTGAAACTGGAATTGAGCCATCATGGCCGTGCCTGGTCCCTCCAGGGACAGGCAATCCAGAATCCTGTCTTGTCTTACTACCCTTCCCTGAGGGTGGACAGATGAGCAGCAAAACTCCAGGTAGCTCTTTTCATGTTCACAACACCATCGCCCAGACCTCCCAGACACAGGGCCCTGTGAGAAGACTGCTCCTGCAAGCAATGTCATCCCCATGCTGCAGACGGGGCCTCAGGCTTGGGTTTTGCTCTGGTGCTGTTAGAACCTAGGGTGCTGAAGCGTGCAGAGGTGGGCAGGCCAGGGCTATGGGAAGCCAAGACACCCCTCCGCAAGTCCTCTCACCTGCCTGGCACCCCTCATTTTCCAAGAGGCCAGGGATACCCTTGATATGGTTTGCTGTGTCCCTACCCAAATCTCATCTTGAATTGTAGTTCCCATAATCCCCATGTGTCATGGCAGGGACTTGGTGGGAGGTAACTGAATCATGGGCGTGGTTACCCCATGCTGTTCTCGTGATAGTGAGTGAGTTCTCACGAGATCTGACTGTTTTATAAGGGACCTTTCCCCCTTTGCCCAGCACTTCTCTCTCCTGTCACCATGTGAAGAAGGACGTGTTTGCCTCTCCTTCTGCCACCATTGTAAGTTTCCTGAGGCCTCCCCAGCCATGTGGAACTGTGACTCAATTAAATCTCTTTCCTTTATAAAGTTACCTAGTCTCGGGCAGTTCTTTATAGCAGCGTTAGAATGGACTAACACAACCCCAAAGCTCATCATATTGGATCTGATTCCTGGACTGGCCTTCAAGCTCCTCTCTTCTCTTCCCCATACAGGCAACCTTGCTGCACTCAGTAAGACCACTGGAGGATGGGGGTAGGAGTGGGAGTGGGAGAAGCTGGCCTGTCTCTCACCCCTGCTGCTCCCCAGCCTGGAATATTCTCCCTCAGCCAATCCTACCTGTCTTTCTCCCATACACTCTTCATTTGCTCACTTGTGGCTAACAGGTGCCATGCCCCCTGTCAGTCCTGCCTGATAGCAAGTCTGGTGGGGAGCTGGGTACCTGGGCCCAGGAACTCTGTTAGAGCAGCTGGGGGAGCGCTAGGGTGGCAGGGTGTTGGGGATGCTTATAAAGGAGATGACTCTGGAGTTGCATCTGGAAGTATACATAGCAATGCTGTGGGCAGAGGAGAGGAGGACACTCTGGGGAGTGGGGACAGCCAGGGCAAAGGCCGGGGCAAGGGGCTTTTGTTGCCAGAATGAAAATGGCCATGGGCCTCAGAAGACAGGCAGGCTGGGCTTGGCATCTACAAAAGCAGGGGCTCCAAAGCTCCCTGAAGAGGCTCAAATGAGGCTCCATGTCAAGAACTCTGAAAGGTAAGAGGTGCCACAAGAAAGGCCGGGGTGACAGCCATGTTATCCCAATACTGAGAGCCATCCTGTCCAAATGGGGAACTCACCCCTGACATCTCTCAAGCTACAGAGCAAATCCCACTTATCAAACACTATACCCCAGTGTTGCAATGCTACGAGGGTAGGTTTCACCATCCCCATTTTACAAAAGAAAACTGAGGCTCAGGGAAGGTCAAATGGTTGCCCAAGGCCACAGAGCTGAGAAGTGGGGGTGGCGCCCACGTCTGCTGATGCCGGGCCTGGGGGCTTTGCCCCTTGCCCCGACCCTCGAAGGTGGTGGAAGGGGGTGTCCCCTGCCCACGCAGGAGACAAGTCAGAACAGCAGCGTGGGTGGAGAGGAAAGCCGAGAGGCACTGCCTGAATGAGCAGTGCTTAGGGCAGTGACAGGCTGCAGCACGGCTCTCTTGGGAAGCTGCAGTGGGCTCTGGTCCAGCCTGACCATCGATCTCGAGGGAAAGTGATCCCAGGTGCTTTGCTGGCTTTTAGTGCCACCCGATAGCTCAGGCAGAGGGGTCCAGCGAGGCCCGTGGGGTGCGTTTCCTGGTACTCAGTGATTCCCGCTCACCATCTGCTTCTGGGGTTCTGAGGCTGCCAGTCGCCTTCATCCTTCCCATCCAGGTCTACCCCCACCCCCACCAGCACCAAGAAGAAGGGCTGCCCTGGGAAGAAGCAGACCCCAATGAATAGCACAGGGGTGATGGGCATGCCCTCAACTTTCAGAGGTCTCGGGAGTAGAAGAACATCAAAGCTGGAGTCAGAGGGCCCTCAGGGACCCCTAGCCTAACAGACAGGGACTCCGTGCTATAGCAGGACCCAGGATGCAGTGAAACAGCAAGGGACCTGGAGTCAGAGGCTGGGCCTTGAGTCCCTGGCTCTGTGACTTTGGCCAAGTTGCTAAGCTGTATTTGTAAAATGGGGTTAAATGGATTCTTTTGTTACAAGGTCACCATGAGGATGAAATGAGAATGTGCCTGAAACCACCCACCCTGAAGCCCAGTGTGTAGTAAGTAGATGTGCATTTCCCAGCAGGAGGATCTGGGCCCTGGGAGGAGTGGAAGCCCTAACTCCACCCAGCAGCCCAGTGGCAGAGTGGGGACCCGAACGCGGCTGCTGACAGAGGCCGATGCTCCACCTCAGCCCCAGCTAGCACAGCCAGCCCATGCGGGGCGCCCCAGCCGCGCCCCAGACCCAGCCCTGGCAGCGGGAACAATCACACTTACTTGAGGATGTCCTTCTTATTGAAGAAAGTGCAGTCCTGTGGAAGAAAAACACACGGTCAGTGTGCGGCTCCCAGTCTCCTTTCCTGCTCAGAGGCCTCGATGTCACAGGGCCTCACAGGCGACAGCCCTGGACTGGGTGCAGAAGAGTCACTACTGTCCCTCTCCACCCCACCCTCACCTGCCGGGGACAGCTGGTTCTAGTGGGTACAGAAAATGCCTCCCCAAACCTTTGTCCATCCTAGAGAGCTTAGTGCATGGTGGGGGGCTGCAGTGCACTTCAGGGTACACATTTAGGAGGGAGATGGAGTGCTCACAGGTAGGCGTGGCTGATTTGCGTGCCACTGGGATACACTGGGGGATGACAGGGAGGTGGCTGGGAGACAACTCTGAATGAGAACCCACAGGGCCACCTTGTGTAGCTGCACGGGGTGCCATCCTCGCTGTATTACTGAGCACGGGGCTAAGGGAGTTGTGTAACCCCAGGTTCAGGGACTGACAGTTCCAGGCACACACACTGGGGAAGCATCAGTATGTGCCTGGTGTTCTGAAGCCAGAAAGAGATGAGGTCACCCAGGGAAGGGAGTGAAGAGGCGGGGGATATGGGACAGGGAAAGGTGGGCAGGGAGGAACCAGGTAGCATCTGTGGTAGACGTAAGGGTAGGGGCTGCTGGGGACCTCCAGGTGGGCATTAGTCCAGGTGGGGGCAGCACTTGGCAACTAGGGCCATTCAGATGACTATCGCATCTCAGACGGGTCCCATCTTTGTCTACATGACCAACCTCTGTCCACAGCGTGACCTGCCCAAGGTGAATATCAACCACTGGCAGTCAGTGACAAGGACCACGCTGGCAGTCCACGGTCAGAAGTACAAAGGGGAAAAGGACCCAGCACTTGGTAAAATGCCTAACCGTGAAGGGCTTTTCTGCCTCTCCCCTGCTGCTTAGCTCTTCCACCTTTGTTACAGCGTGAAGGAAGAAGGCCTCTTAGGTCTGCAAAACCCAGGTCCTGTAGGACCTCCTGGGGCCATAAGCTGACTATACAGCCAGCTCTGATGAGGAGCGAATGGCTGAGACTCAGGCCAGCAAACAGCCAGGCTTGCCCTGCATGAGACCTGAAGCCACTGGACATCAGGGCAATTGAATTGTGTGCTGAGAGGGCCAAAGAGAGAACGCCCGCAGGATGCATGCAACATCTGGGCTTTCCACCGGGTGCTTTCAGGGAGCTGAAGCAGGGAGAGTGGGTGGGAATTTCCAGGCCCTATTTGGCCCAACAAGTCTGTCCTAAACCACCTGCTGCTCCCTGGGAGTTAGACTTAGGATCCATGCTGCCTTCTTGGAAACACAGGGGGTTCTCCTGAGGGTCTCGGCTTTGCTTTAGGCAATGGTTCCTCTGCAGGAACGCAGAAAGCCTCAGGCGGGGGAAGCAGCGCCTCCACTCCTCACCCAGCACAGACAGAAAACTTCCTACTTAGCAGGCCTTAGACAAAGACAGGCTGGAGACAGGGTGGACTGATTTCTCAGCAAACTCCAGAAACACGGAGCAGAAGGTGGACTTCCCTCCATCCTAGGGCCGTTTCTACGGTCTAAGGTGCCCAGTGAAAGGGCCAGGGCTCTCCCACCTAGCCTGGCGGAGGCTGTCAGCAGAATTGGCAACAGGGAGAAGCCCCAACTCCTGCTCTCTTCCCGCTGATCTGTCCTCCCTCCCTTCCCCTCTCCTCTCTCCTATCCCATGGGTTGGAAAGGAACTTCCCAGGTCCTGACTCAAGGGTTCTACTAGCAAAAGATGCAAATATTTCCCATATAACCCTGCTTTCCATCACAATTCCCTATACCTCCCTCCATCAATGGTCCTCCAGGTGTGGCTCCCGGACCAGCAGCATCAGCCTCACTGGGAACCTGGTGGAAATGCAGATTCTCAGGCTCCACTCCAGCTCTCCTGGATCAGAAGTTCTATGGGTGAGGCCCAGGGATCTGCATTTTCAAAAACCCTCCCAATGATGCTGACGCATAGTGAAGTGTGAGGACTTCTGCTCTAGAGCAGAATCACCTGGGGGTCTACTTCAGACACCTGTGTTCCCCACCCCTCAGCAGACCCCAGACAAATTATAGAGAAATCCCCAAGGGTGGATCCAGGCATCAGTGGTTTTCAAAGCCACTCAGGTGGTTCCAACGTGCAGCCCAGGCTGAAAACCACATCCCAGCCAGTACATGATGTACCATGCACCTGGGACTCTGAATATCCAATTTTGTTTAATCCTTATCACTAGCCAATGGGGGTGGGCCTTATGTCTCTATTCTAAAGATGGACAACTTGAGACTCAGCGAAGTTGAATAGCCTGTCTCTATTCTAAAGATGGACAACTTGAGACTCAGTTGTTACACACAGCCCAGGAGGGCTGGGAGTGGAACTCAGGCTTCTGTGCTTTCCTTTTCTACCCGCCACACCCCACCTTTTTTTTCTTTAGAGACAGTCTCACTCTGTCACCAGGCTGCAGTACAGTGGCATGAACTTAGCTCATTGCAACCTCCACCTCCCGGGTTCAAGTGATTCTCCTGTCTCAGCCTTCCGAGTAGCTGGGATTATAGGCATGCGCCACTACGCCTGGCTAATTTTTGTATTTTTAGTCGAGACAGGGTTTCACCATATTGGTCAGGCTGGTCCCGAACTCCCAACCTCAGGTGATCTACCCGCCTCGGCCCCCCAAAGTGCTGAGATTACAGGTGTGAGCCACTGTGCCTGGCCTTTTTTTTTTCTTTTGAATGGGAGTAGAGCTTGGGGCCCCTGGCAAGGAAGAAGCGGCAAGAAAAGACCCTCTGTGCTTCTTGACCACTGCCCATGACTACAAACAGAACCGCAGTCCACCCGTGACCACTGTACACCAGCCACTCCATGTGGAGTCACAGCATCTGCTGTGTATTCCTATGCCCTTACACAGCAGGTGCTTAATACAGGCTTGTGGGATAAGGGACCAGACTTTTCCATGTATGCCTTCCACAGCAGTTACGTTACTGCAGGGTATCTCAGGGAGGGCATAGCCCCTGCCTAGCCTTAACCTTTCTTCTCTTTCTGAACATTTAGTAACACCTGTTTCTTGGTTTCAACATCAATGATAAAGCTGCCATGAATCTGCTCATCAACTGATGTTTTACTGTTTCTTCTGTTGACTTGTTTCCCTAGGACTCACCCAAGGGAGGCAGTGCACAGGGGGTGAATATGGCAGGTGTCCTTAAAATCTTCTCAGGGCTCAGCCTGGCAGTGCGGCAAGGGAAAAGGTTTGGTAGTCAGAGTCAAATTCTAGTCTAGCTTCAGACCCTCAGGCAAGTCACTCTCCTTTCTGAGCCTCAGTTTCCGCATCTGTAAAGCAGAAATGATGTGTCTCCGAAGGGGACATGTGAAAAGCAAATGAGACAAGGGGCAGGAAGTCTAAGGCCCCAGCCGATGGGAAACAGTGCAGCACTCCATGCACCACCCGACGTCCCAAAGGTGTCTCCCCAGTCTCGGTAGCTCTGCTGTCTTTCCCTTCTCTGGAGTCGCCAAAGACCCTGCCCACCACTGCACCCTCAGCTGCCCTGGGAGCCCGTGTCTGAAGGAACCCTTTCTTATACGTCCAGAGAGCACATGCCCCATCACTGCCTGGCTCCTGACAGTATACAGGGACACAGGGACAGGTCTTCAGACAAAGGTCCCAGCTCAGGTCAGGGTCATGAGGAGTGGGAGGGAGGGAAGGAGCGAGGGGGCCTAACCCAGGAATAATGGGTCCTCAGAACTTTGGCAGCAGAAAACTGGACAGGCTGAGCTTTGACAGTAGAAGCCCAGAGGCTTCCCCAGTCAAGGCTGGAGTTCTGCCTCCAAGCCTATACTCATCCAATTCCCCACCTGGAGTGCCCTCTCCTCTTCTTGCAGGCTGTGCAAACCCTTTCCTTTCCCCAAAGCTCAACTCACGGGGGACTTGTTCCAGGCAGCCTCCCATTTCCTACACGCCTGGTCTGCCTGTGCCAGTGGTCAGGAGCTGAGCCATGGGCTGTCCCAGTCCCAGCTGTAATGGAAGTGACTCTCCACCCAGCTCTGCCAGCTCAGGCCTTAGCACTGCCCAGGTGACCATCACATGGCTCAAAGTCAGTCTCCAGGGTGATCTCGGTTAATCCCCACAAGAGCCCTGTGACATGAGTTGTTCCCATTTTAGGGGTGGGGACACTGAGGCCCAGAAGGGAACAATGGCTTGCTAAAGCCCGCAACATCAACTGCCCAGCTGACTTGAATCTAGGACTTGAGAATTCTTGTCTAGAGTTCTTCATCCTCCTAGAGCCATACCTTAACAAATATTTGTCCATTCACTTTACAACATCCTCTAAGCATCCCTTTTGTGCCTGGACAGGGGCCACATGAGAAGGAACACGGAGTGTACACAGTGAGGTGCCCAGTACAGACCGTTCTGTGGCTACAGGAGGAACTGGGGATGTGACTGTCAGGCTCCCTGAGTACTCCCAGCTGAATGAGGGAGTCAGGGAGCCCTCCCAAAGAGGTGAGGCTTGCACTGGACAGAAAGATGGGCTGAACTAGGTTAGCAGAGGAGCGGGGAGAGCAGCAGGAGAACAGGGCCAGAGGGGAGGGAGGGCTTGGCTAGCAGCCCTTCAGTGTGCCTGAAACTTGGGGTGCAAAGGGAAAGGGAGTAAGAAATGAGGTTGGAGCCTGGGTGCAGTGGCTCACGCCTGTAAACCCAGCACTCTGGGAAGCCGAGGTGGGTGGATCACCTGAGGTCAGGGGTTTGAGACCAGCCTAGCCAACATGGCAAAACCCTGTCTCTGCTAAAAATACAAAAATTGCATACGGCCACATGACCCTGAACACGCCCGATCTCGTCTGATCTCGGAAACTAAGCAAGGTCGGGCCTGGTTAGTACTCGGATGGGAGACCGCCTGGCAATACCAGGTGCTGTAGGCTTAACAAAATACAAAAATTAGCTAGGTGTGGTGGCAGGCACCTGTATTTCCGGCTATTTGGGAGGCTGAGACAGGAAGAATTGCTTGAACCCGGGAGGTGGAACTGGGAGGCAGAGGTTGCACTGAGCTGAGATCGTACCTCTGCACTCTATCCTGGGTGACAGAGTGAGCAAAATTCTATCTCAAAAGGAAAAAAAAAAAGGAAGGAAGAAAAAAGAGATGAAGGAAGAGAGAGGAGAACTAAGAGGTTGCAGCACAGGAGTGCGGGTGCTGGAGGGGGACAGGCAGGAGGGGTGTGAAAGGGAGCAGTCAGACCTCTAGTTTGCATGAGACTGAGCAGGCCTAGCCCAGGGCTGTGGGGATGGAGGAAGGGACCACCAGGTGAGCTACAAAAGAGGCTGAGTCACAGGCCTGTTCTTAACTAAAAACACGGGTTGTGGGAGAGCAAAGACTTGGAATGGCGGGAGGAGCAGCGGTGGGTGCTGTTTTGGAGTTTAAGGGGTCAGGGGGACGGCTGTACAATGAAGAGGAGTGGTCTGGGGAGAAGCTTGAATGTTGGGCATCACCAGCACCGGGAACCAGGAGGGTGCGCCCTGCTTGGGAAAGATCAGACTGCCAGGCTGGGAGGTCCCAAGAAACCCTAGGGGTTACTTGGGGGAGGGGGTGCTGTAACTCAGGCTCACCCCCACTCAGCCCTGGCTGCCACAAGGCTGGCTGGAGAGCCAGAGGGAAGGAGATGTGGGGCTCTCAGGTTTCATAGCTCTCATTTCTCCCACCCCGCCTGGCAGGGTCTAGCTAGGCTCTGGCAAAGGATCAGAACCCAACATTGGGACTGGCTCCGATGGGTAACCCAATGCCAGGCTGATTGGAGTGGGAACCCAGGCTCCCCACCCCCATGAAGCTACTCTTCATTCTGAGCATGGCTTACCTGCTTGCCCCTGCTCACTCCCAAGCCTTTATCCAAGCTGTCCCCTCCACCAGGAATGCCTCCTCTGTGCCTCACTAGGCAAAACTCCGCCTGTCTTCCCAAGGACTGCTCAAATGCTGCATCGTTTCTGGACTCTGCCCCCCTTCTCCGCTGGCCTCCCACTGCCCACTAGTGCCCTTCCCAAGAACACACTCCACCACCTGCCTCTATCACAAGGGCCACACACTGGGAGTCTGTCTGTGAGTGTCTGAGACTGAGTGCCTTGGGGACAAAGAGCACAGGTGGCCCAGTCCAGCCCACTCCCAACTAAAGACATGGGCCTGGGAGTCAAGATTCAAATCCTGCGTGAGCCCTGAATGGCTCGTCAGCCTCTGTTTACACTTCTGTAAAATGGGCTAATCATCCACCTCACTGTGATGATTGAGTGGATGCACAGATGGTATCAATTACTGTGCTTCGTATACAACAGGTGCTCCATAAATGTGGCTCCCCTCTTCCTTCCCAGGGTCTCACCAGGGAACCTGAGAAATCCATTACTGAAAACTAGGGCTTCTAGGAGGAGAAGGGACCTTTGTTTTACCTTCACCCACATCAGGGGACCCACACTTCATGGCTGCTTCCCTTCACAGCCAAAGTAAGCACTGATGAAGGCAAAAGGCACCTGTGGAGACCCCGCTGGTGTTCTTCCTGCCCAGTTACACAGACCACAGCACAGTCCCACCCCCTCCGCCTGGGGAATCGGGGGAGAGGCATCAATCAGATGTGGGTCTTGAAGGGTTAGAGATCATCTGGGGCGGGGGTGGGGGAGGGGCGGGGGTGGGGGAGGAGCAGCATCCAGGCCCAGGAAATGGCATGGGCAGAGGGAGAGGGGGAAGGAGGAATGAGCCTCGGGAGTTGGAGCAACTGCAAACGATTTTGAGGCAGCTGCCATGCAGAGGGCAGCTCTGCCTCCAGGTGGCCTGCCTGCCTCTCATCTCCCCAGGACTGCCTCCCCAGAGTCTGGGGAGACTGAGGATGCGGAGTTGAGCTGGACAACTGCCCAGGGCTCTGGGTAAGCCAAGGGGTTGGGCTTCATCCCTCCACCACAGTGAAGTTTTTACGTGGGTGGGACAGCATCGGGATTCCAGATCTGGAGAGCTGGCTCTGGAGGCAGGAAAACCTAGAAAGGTCTAAGGAGGTGGCTGCTGAGGGCCTAAGGGAGCTGGGAGAGGTGGCCCTGGAAGGCTTGCCTTGCTCCAGTTATCTCCATGCTGGGGTCAGGAGAGGCCCCAGCAGATAAATAGGACAGTCCCGGCTGAAGACTGCATGAGGGCACTGATGCATCCCACTCCTAGCCCAGACAGGACCCCAGCTCTCATTTTTGCTTTACAGAGACTTGCTCTCCTGGGATCCTTCCAGGGACTGGGGGAGCAGGGAGCGGGGTGGGCGGTCCTCCATCCAGACTAGTTTACTGAGTTCCTCTCCAGGTCAGGTAGGCGCTGAAATGGGTGGCTGGGGAGGGGTTTGGGTCCCGCCTAGGGTGAGAGTAGAAGGCGGGGTAGCTGGAGCAAGGCGCGCCTGAGAGGCTCTGCCAACTGAAAAGAGCTCTCATTCCACCGGTGGGGAAACTGAGGCACGGCGAAGGAAAGTCACCGGCCCAAGGTCACGCGGCGAGCCGAAAGCAGAGGCAGGGTTCGAACCCGGAGAGCTGGCTCTCAGGAGGCCTCGGCCGGCGACCGGGAAAAGGGAGGGGCGGCGGGGCCCGCGCGGGGAGCCGGGCGCGCCGAGCTCACCTGGTAGTTGTCCAGCTGCTCTTCGGTGAAGATGGTCTGCTTGTTCCCCATGGTGGCCGCCGCGCCGCCGCTCGCCCGTCCGGGCTCCGCCTCCCATCAGCGGCCGCCGGACCCGGAGCCCGCGCCCCGCACTCGCAGCCCTCGCCAGCCCGGCGGCCCGCAGCTTCCCAGGGCGGCCCGCCCCGCCCCGCCCCGCAACTCGCCCGGAGGAGGGGCGCGGGGGTCGGGGAGGCGGGGACGGGGACCTGGCGCGGTAGCGACTCCGCCCCCGGCGGGAAGAGGGGCCGGCGCCCGGCTCCACGGCTGCGGCGCGCCAGGGGCCCGGCAGGGGGCGGCCTGGGCGCGGGAGACGCTGCACCGCGCGCACCCCGGGCTCCCGCGGCCGGAAGTGCTGGGAGCACGCGGGGGTCTCGGAGGCGGGGACAAGTACCCGGCGCGGCGGCGACTCCGCCCCACGGCGGGAAGAGGCGGGCGCTCGGGTACCGCCGCGGGAGTCCGGGTCGCACGAGGCGAGGGTGCGTGGCCTGGGAAACGCTGCCGACGCGGGCAGTGGGGCAAGCGACGTGATCTTGGCGCCCCGAGACCTGGGGCGAGGGAGGCAGCGAGGACTGAGCGCGTGGATCTAGCTGGGGCCGGGCTCTACCGGCGTCTCGCGCCGCGACCATGGGCAAGCCCTTCCCGGGTCCTGTTCCTCGGAAGGAAGGAGGGGTCAGTCAGGCTGACCTCGGAGGCCCTCCCCGGCCAGGCCTCGGGAAGCCCATCTGGCCTTTGGCCGCGGCCTGGGCAGAGCATCTCAGGCCTTCTGGGTTCCCTGGGGAGCGGGACACGATTTACGTGGCTTTCTTTGAGCCCTTGATTACAAACATGAGCCTTGAGAGGATTTTAAGGGCTTGACTGTGTCCAGAGAAGTGTGACAAAGGCCAGGACACTTCCTGGAGCTTTTAAGCAAATGCCATCGTAAGGGAAGCAGGACTTTACCTCTGCCCTCCTAGGTCTTTGGCTGGGCTTGAGAATTAATATGACATAAGACAGATTAAGGGAAGAAAAACAAATTTAATACAAGTTTTACATGACGTGGAAACACTCATAAGGAAATGAAGACCCTGAGAACTGGCAAAACCTAAATACTTTTTTTTTTTTTTTTTTTACATGGAATCTCACTCAGTTGCCCAGGCTGGAGAGCAGTGGGGTGATCTTGGCTCCCTGCAACCTCCACCTCCTGGATTCAAGGCATTCTCCTGCCTTCTCAGTAGCTGGGACTACAGTCGCACGCCAGCATGCACAGCTAATTTTTTTTTAGGAATTTTAGTAGAGATGAGGTTTCACTATGTTGGCCAGGCTGGTCTCGAACTCTTGACCTCAAGTGAGCCACCTGCCTTGGCCTCCCAAAGTGCTGGGATTATAGGTGTGAGCTATCGCACCTGGCCAACTGTTGTATTTTTTTTTTTTTGGTAGAGACGGGGTTTTACCAAGTTGCTCAGGCTGGTTTTGAACTCCCAGGCTCAAGCAATCCACCACCTTGGCCTCCCAAAGTACTGGGATTACAGGATGTGAGCCATCATGCCTGGCCTCATCTCCTTTTTTTAAAAAGAAGGAGGATCAAGAGTGGCCTTCTTGCATCCACTATTTTTCAAGTGCCTTTACCTCAAATACTCAATATGCCAGAGCAGCATATGCTGTGGTGGCATGCTCTGAGCTCCTTCACCATCCACCAAATGGAGTCACCACTATCTTTCTGGGGTCCAGCCCATACTACTGTTATTTCTAAGCTCAGGACAACTGAATCAGTAGGTATGATCTCCATGTTATAGGCAAAGAAATGGGCAGAGAGAGATTCAGTAACTTGCCCAGGGTCCCACAGCTGGGAATTAATAGAACGTGGGCTGGACTCAGGCACTGGCTTAACATATCATTCCACAACTGCCAGTGGACTTTGAAGAGATCAGGATTTTTTAAAAAAAATTTATATATATATTTAAAAAATAGAGGTGGGGGGGTCTCACTATGTTGCCCAGGCTGATCTCGAACTCTTGGGCTCAAGTGATCCTCCTGCCTTGGCCTCCCAAAGTGCTAGGATTACAGGCATTAGCTACCATGTCTGGCCGAGATGAAGACTTTATGCTTTAAAACGCATGGTTTGTTACATTAGTGGTTCTGAACCTACCTGGGAGCATGTATCAAAATTACTTGCGAGGCTGCTCACCCGGAGTTTCTTATTTAGCAGGTCTGGGTGGCTAAGAATGTGAGTATTAAAAGAGTTCCTGGGTGATGCTAATGCAGCTGGTCTTGGAACCACACTTTGAGATTGCTGAGGCTGAAGCTTGTGGGTTCTGATGGGAAAAGGACTCTAAGTCTGGCAGATGATCCCTCGTGCTTTTAGTTTTCTTTTTCTTTTCTTTTCTTTTCTTTTTGAGACAGAGTCTCGCTCTGTCACCCAGGCTGGAGTGCAGCGGTGCGATCTTTTGCTCACTGTAACTTCCGCCTCCTGGATTTAAGCGATTCTCCTGCCTCAGGCTCCCAAGTAGCTTGGATTACAGGCGTCCACCACCACACCCGGGTAATTTTTGTATTTTTAGTAGGGATGGGGTTTCACCATGTTGCCCAGGCTGGTCTTGAACTCCTGTCCTTAAGTGATCTGCCCGCTTTGGCCTCCCCAAAGTGTTGGGATTATAGGCATGAGTTACCATGCCCAGCCTTTTAGTTTTTTTTTTTATATCTGAGGCTACTGGTTAGGGTTTTCCAATCTTATTTTACCAGTCTTTTGTGAGAACAGCAGCCATCAGTAAAACAGACATGTCACCCTGTTGAAATCACAAGAGTCTTCAGAGGCACCATCAATTGTTTTCAGAGGGGTGGGAAGCAATTCTTTAGCCTGGGCATTGGTGACCAGCCTTCAGAGGTCACCCCACCATCTTTTCTTCATTGTGGACACACACAATAGGGACCTCACCCATGGGAAAGGAGGTAGGATGTATCCCCAGAGATTCAGAAAATGTGGAATTTTAGAGCAGAGATAGACACATTTGAAAGATTCTCTCCTCTGTACCTCCCCTTTCTCCCATGTTAGAGTTGGGGAAAAGGAAACTCTTGTGAAACCACATAACGACTATTACAAAAGTTATCCTTCTTCCCATCTTAGATTCCACGTTGCGTCTGAACAGGCCAGAATTCTGTGTGTTCAGATTCTGCTCTGGTGCATTCTTGTACAATTGCTAACATGCCACTCATTTGCATACCAGGTGTTCCAGGTAGGAAGTCTGGAGCCTCTACAAAGAGGACTGTGTTTTCAGTCCCGGGAGCCCTTCCTCTCATGGGAGAGAAATAGAGGCAGCCCACCAGACTAGAACATTCCTCTCAAAAATCCTTTTAGGCTGGGCGTGGTGGCTCATGCCTGTAATCCCAGCACTTTGGGAGGCCAAGATGAGTGGATCACCTGAGGTCGGGAGTTTGAGACCAGCCTGGTCAACATGGTGAACCCCTGTCTCTGCTAAAAATACAAAAAAATTAGCCGGATGTGGTGGCGCACCTGTGATCCCAGCTACTCAGGAGGCTGAGACAGGAGAATCACTTGAACCCAGGAGGTGGAGGTTGCAGTGAGCCGAGATCACACCATTGCACTCCAGCCTGGGTGACAAGAGTGAAACTTCATCTCAAAAAAAAAATCCTTTTAGATTATTGTTACCATTGCCCATTTAAAGCTCTCTCTCTCTTGAGCAATGCTGTGAGGAGGGGCAAGGTACACAATTCCCATGTTACAGATGAGAAACCCTGGGCTGAGAGAGGCAAAACAACTTGCCTGATGCCACCCAGCTGGGAAGTGGCAAAGCAAAGCTTTATCTTCGTTCTCTGATTCTAAATCCTGTGCTTAACTGCTCCCAAATGCTGCGTGTGGTCCCCAAGGAGCAGAGCGTGTGTGTTTGCTGGGAAGGAGGATGAACCAAGGGAGAAGAATGAAACATTACTGATTACCTATCTAGTGCCCAGAATTGTATTGGACGTGCTGTATTTCCTGAATATTATTATTCCACAAACACCACCCCAATCTGTGGAGTTTCACATTATTATCCCATTTCACAGATGAAGAAATAGTTTCAGAGAAGGTAACTTGCCCAGCTGCTAATGAGTAGATTTAAATCTGGGCCCTGACTCTTTACTCTCTCTCTTTTTTTTATTTTTTTTTATTTTTTTGAGACAGAGCCTTACTCTGTCACCCAGCCTGGAGTACAGTGCCACCATCTCAGCTCACTGCAACCTCCACCTCCCAGGTTCAAGTGCTTCTTCTGCCTCAGCCTCCCGAGTAGCTGAGACTACATGCACGAGCCACCAAACCTGGCTAATTTTTGTATTTTTAGTAGATACAGGGTTTCATCATATTGGCCAGGCTGGTCTCAAACTCCTGACCTCAAGTAATCTGCCTGCCTCAATCTTCCAAAGTGCTGGGATTACAGGTGTAAGCCACCACGCCCTGCTGGACTCTGCTCTTGATCACGCAGTCTAGGGTAGGGAAACATGGTTACCACTGTTTAAAGGGGGCTGACTCCTTGTCAATTGCAATCTTGTAAATACCATAACAGGGAAAGGCAGCAGGGGTGCCAGATCGGTGCCAGATACTCATTAAATGTTAACTTATTTTTTTCATTTCTGACTCACACAATGAAGTTTATTTTAAAATTTGGAAGGAAAAAAGGAATAAATGCTACACATGCTTCTTTGGGATGAGAGGTCATCTTGAACTGCTGCCTTTCCAAGTGCTTGCTTGTGATGAAGATGTACTTTGTGATCAAGATGACCTCTCACCCCAAAGAAGCACTTGGTAGCACTGATTGCAGAACAACTCCATCTGCAAGTTTTTCTTCTAAGACTTAGAAACTAGATAGACCTTAATGACAGAGATGAAAGATCCCTGGGCCCAAGGTCTGGGTAGGACCGTCTTTTTTTTTTTTTTTTTTTTTA